TTTTACACGCTTACATATACACACCCAGTTACTGTCCCTCCATTTAGAAAGGCAGATGCGTCACGGTGTAATTATTTTACGTGTAGTTGTTTTTTCCTGTGTAATAATATTTGACATTGCTATCAAAACATTTTTCAAAAAAGGCCTCTTTGTGCAAAATGGGTTCAAAAACATAAACAGCTGTGGGATACTGTTTTGTACTGTTTGGAACAAATCGTGGCAGGAACAGCCTGATGTTATTTGTATCCTGCTGTAACTTTACTATATAAAGAGCTAACATCTCCAAAATGTCAGGAGTAGTTAGTCATTACAACAAGTGTTTGTGAAATAAAAATCAAGAACGTGGGATACTGTTTGCCCCTGATTTCGAGAACCCAGTGCATGCTCCCGACGCAGGGAAAACCAATTCTGCAGGGGAGACCTACCTTGGCACTTGTGCAGGTGAAGCCAAAGGGAAGATATGCTTCACCATATTTTCTAGTCTTTGGCTTAGAATGAAGTTGGTTTGGAAACATATTCAGCGATGCTTCATCTCCTGCTTTGCGTTTGTGTGGGAGTCCCGTCAAAAACCTGTCAATGATGCTAGCAGTGTCCAAGCATTCTTTTTTTTTTTTCCCCTTTTCATACCGCGGGCCCCACGCTTTGGGAAGGGAGCCTGCATGTGAGGTCCCTCTGCCTCCAAGTCCTCAACCTTCTGATGCCTGGTTTCAATCACAGGACACTCATAAGATCATGCACCCAGATTTGAAAAATGAATTTTGCTCCCTGGACACGCAACTCTGTGAAAGTGACTGAAAATGCTAGTGTGGACGTGTAGCGTTTTCAGACGACAACGCTGTTTTCAAATCTTCAAGATTAACAATGAGGTGGAGTTGTTGCTGCGAATAACAGAAAAGTACAAAGTTGCAAAAGCGAGTGAGATTTAAAGAATTTGAAGAAAGGCTATCTGGAGCATGTACAAACTGATATTAATCTTTAATAGGGCTGTCAAAATTGCGAGCAAACAAAGTAACTGCTGTTTAATGCCCTCCGCTATCTTAGTTTAATTGGTCACATGACTGCATCATATGACTAACATGCGTCATCGTTTTAGAAAGTCTCCGTTTTCGCTGTCCACACTGCGACACGAAAGCACCGTTTTGAAATGTGTGCGTATTTCAGAGCGTTTTCAAAACGCTGCATTTTCCATCAGCGAAACCGCCGTCTCAGTGTGGACGGGAGGCCAAAACAGAGAGAAAACAATGCATTTTCAAACAA